AGGAGTCCTCAATGAATGGGAGTAAATGGAGCTAAAAGGCTAAAAACGAAAAGTTAAAATAGTTTCTAATCACTCGCCCAGAACTTTTCTTTAATTTTAGACAGTAGAAGGATGGATTTCACTAAAAAAACAAAGAAAACTCACCTGTATGTTTCTTTTTTCTACAGTAAACAGGTTTTGGGCAGCTGAAGGGCGGGCGTTACTGCTAGTAAGTGCTGATTGATTGGTGAGTGGAGTAGCTCATTGGCCGTTCACACTCACTGACATCATGAACGTACATAAGGCGCCGTTTTAAACTCCTATAACTCGAGTTTAAAAGCTCTTAAAAATGTAACAGCAGTGTTAAAATGTTTTATGTGGTTCTCTGTCCAGGAAATTAATGTATTCTTTTACATTAAAAATGTTTGAGCATTTATAAACAATGATTTTGCTCAAATGCTCCATCTTAACCCATTCATTTTGGACTCGCTCAGGAGCGCCCTCTAGCGTTTGAGAAAACCAGAAGTGAAAAACAGAGCAGAGCAGTAATTCTCCTCTCTACAAGTTCTCTGGCAGCGCAAAGGTGCAAGGAGCTCACAGGAAGTAGCACAGAGACCAATTCGAGCTACAGGAAGTAGCACGGATGGGAGATAACTGGAACTATCACTAACTATCACAGCACAAACTTTACAAAAAGTAGCAGAAGTAGCACAGAGACAGTTTGGGCTTGCAAGAAGTAGCATCAGTGGAATTCCCCTCTAAATGGTTCCTCTTTGAGAGACAAATTTGAGATTAAGGTCAAAGTATTGTAAGTATATGTTCTCAAAGCATGAGTACTGTCATTATCACAAACAAGCATATATAAAAATAATAAACAGATATATACATATATACATATGTATATACACACACGTATATATCGCTGCTCTCAGAACAAAACCTCGTATCTCCAAAATAGCAACTTTACAGGAGAAGGAAAAAACCTGCTTTACTTTTAATGTAAGTCAATGGAACCAGACGTTTTTCCAAGTCATTTTGGGTCGTTTCTTTTGGTCCAATCATCACGAAATTTACACACAATGTAAAGGACAACACGCATTTTTTAACGAATGTAAAAACGGAAAAACGACAAAAATGGAGACATAACAGCAGCGATATATATGTATATGGAGATAAATGATTATGATTATTATTATTATTAAAGAAATATTATTTTAAACAGATCAGACAAATAAAATTGTAAGTATATGTTCTCAAAGCAAGAGCACTGCCATCAGTTTATTATTACACACATACATACATACGTACATATATATATATATATATATATATATATATTATTTATACATAGAGAGAGAGAGAGACGTGCAGAGCTAACAGAAAGTAGCACAGAGACAGTTTGAGTTTGCAAGAAGTAGCATAAAATTGCTCAGAGCTCATAGGACGTAGCACAGCCAGCTCAAGCTTACAGAAAGTAGCACAAAAATGCACAGATCTCAGAGGGAGCAGCACAGAGACAAGCCTGCAGGTAGCAGCACAGAAATGCGCTACAAGTTCACAGAGGGTAAAACAGAGACAAGCTTGAGCTCGCAGGAAGTAGCAGAAAACTGCACAGAGCTCACAGGAAGTAGCACAGCGCTCTCTTTAAGCACAGAGATCCTGAGCTCACAGAAAGTAGCACAGAAACATGCTGAAGCTCACAGGAAGACAGGCCAGCGTTTACGAGTCCATTAATCCCCGTCAAATTTTGGACTCTCCGCCCTTCGAGCAGCTCAGAGCGACAAAATAACAGCTCACAGCAGCATTCTGATGCCCCACGTTTCGTCTATAAGCAGAACAATTATTTTCACTTCAAAAATACTTAAAAATGCATTTTACTGAATTAAAAACAAGACGTCATATAGTAAGGGGAACCCCACCAATTTTTCAAAATTCTTATAAAATCATAAATAAAGTCATTCAGAGTGGTTTGACGTGAAATGGTTCACAGTGGCAGTGATGCACTGCCCCTGCATGTACCTCTCCGTCATGAACAGATTTTAAAAAATTATGTGTTTTAGGTCAAACTCTCCTCAAAACTATCACAAAACAATGTGTCAGACATCAGGCAGTGAATTCATAACCATTTCATATAGTAACTTTCTGTGAGGGAGCTTTTAGAGGTGGACGTCTGGTTCCTATCACCACCACTGTGAACCATTCTGACTCGGTAAGTTTCTCTAGAACAGAGCGTTTCACACCAAACCACTCTAAATGACTTAGTTTACATTAGTTTACATAATCATGTAATTATGCAGATAACTTAGAAAAACCAGAGGAGTTCCCCTTTAAGGAGATGCGGTCTGAGGTTTATTTTTATTATATAGTGAAGAAAAAGATTCTTCAACAATCTATAGGTTGAGGTGCAACCAAAAACTAAAGGGAAACCCCACAGATTTTCTAAATTTCTGTAAACAGAGTCATTCAGAGTGGTTTGGTGTGAAATGCTCTGTTCTACTGAGTCAGAATTGTTCACAGTGGTGGTGATAGGAACCAGACGTCCACCTCTAAAAGCTCCCTCACATGCCTGAGACACTAAATTATGATAGTTGTAAAAAGGTTTTAGACCGAAAGCTTTTTTTTTATCTATTCACAGTGGAGAGGTACATGTAGTGTTCTATGTCAAAATTGTCCCCAAAGAAGATATTTTTTACCCCTGGTTCCTATCACCACCACTGTAAAGAAATCTGTGTCTCTACAATCAACCATTTTCACACCAAACCACTCTGAATGACTGTTTACATCTCACTGATTTATGTGAAATTTTGAAAAATCGGTGGAATTCCCCTTTAACAATAAAGCACCGTGCACACAAAAACGAGACGTAAAATAGAGCATGCACAGCTGACAGCACACGATCCCCACGCAGCAGCTCATGTGCAACCTACAAACAATGAGCACCAAAAAAAATCACGCCGCGAGACAAAGCAGCTCTGCGCGGCCTGCAAAATCAAACACGAGCGCGGCTTTATCGCCAAAAAATCCGCGCAGCAGCGCAGCAGCGCGCACACAAAGCCTCAAATGGGGCACAAAACAAGGTGCATCCACCGAGCACTCGGGGGGGGCGGCTTACAGCCGACAGGGGCATCGAAATGCCTTCATGTCAGATGCACATCTGGAGTCTCCAGCACAGCTGGACGCACAAGAACACAAGAGCAGCAGAGGAGATGCAGCTCTGCTCGGAACCAAACCGCTCATTTGAGTCACTCACTGATCCGCTCCAAACCCAAACATCAGCGCTACAAACTCCCTCACACACGAGGAGCCACCGCGGAGCGGGCAGAGCGTGTTTTTTCTCTCGTGCCAACCGCGGGCTGAGCACCTTTTTGGGGCTGAGGGGTGGAAATAAATAAATAAATAAATAAATAAATAAATAAATAAATAAAGTCAACAGAATGGTGGAGGTGGTTGGTTGTGTTTGGGTTGGTGGAACAAATGTTGACCTATTAGAATCAAAGTTAGCCAAACACGCTCGCGCGCACGCACAGAGTGAATGAATGCCTCTCTATTTAGTGTTGAGGGTGGAGTGGTAGTGTTGCTGCTGGTCTCTGTGGAGTTGCTGGTGGGTTTGGTGCTGGTCACGGCTTGGCGGTGTCGGTACAGCCTGAGTTGTTATTGGTGGTGTTGGTCTTGTTGATGGTAGCCTATTGGTGGTGGTAGTGGTGGGACTGGTGTTTGTGGTATTGATGTTGGTGTAATTGTTGTAATTGCTGGCACCTGAGTTGGTATTGATGGTTTTATTGCTCTTATCACTGGCACTGACATTAGCGTTGTTGGCACTGGTGTTGGTGGTACTATTGTTGTCAGTATAGTCGCCATTGGTATTGCAGAACATCTGTTGTGCTGGTGGAATAGTGGTGTTACTGGTGGTAATGTTGATTATATTGTTGGTATTGCTGATGGTGTTGGTGTAAATGGTGTTATTGGTAGTAATATTGTGGGTAATATAGTCGGCATTGTTGCTATTAGCGTTGCTGATGTTTGTGTTGGTGGAATTGTTGGTATTATTGGTGCTAGTGTTGGTGTTAATGGTGGTAATGGTGGTAATATGTTAGTGATATAGTCGGCATGGTGGATTTTGGCATTGCTGATGTTGGTATTGGTGGATTAATTGGTATTACTGGTGCCAGTGTTGATACTGCTGTTGGTGTCGGTGTTGCTGGTGCTACTGGTGATAATGGTGGTAATATTTTCGATGTTGGTGTTGCCAGAGTTGATGTTGCTGATGTTTGTGTTGGTGGAATTGTTGGTTTAACTGGTGCTAGATTTAGAATTTTTGCTGGTTATTGGTGGTAATATTGTTGGTAATACAGTTGCCATTATTGGTATTGGTATTGCTGATGTTCATGTTGGTGGAATTGTTGGTATTATTGCTGCCGGTGTTGCCGGTCTTAGCGGTGATAATAATGTTGGTAGTATTTTTGGTATTGGTGTTGCTAGAGCTGGTATTGCTGATGTTCATGTTGGTGGAATTGTTGGTTTAGTTGGTGCTAATGTTAGAATTTTAGTTGGTGCTGCTGTTGATGGTGGTAAGTGGTGGGTTTGTGGTAGTACTGCGGGCATTCTTGGTATTGGTGTTGCTAGAGTTGGTATTGCTAATGTTTGTGTTGGTGCAATTGTTGGTGTTACTGGTGCTGAAGCTAGTATTATTGGTGTTGGTGGTATCACTGGCGGTGCTGGTGTTAGCTGTGGTGATGTTGCTGTTAGGGTTGGTGCTGCTGGAGTTGGTATTGCTGATGTTCGTGTTGGTATTATTGGTGCTAGTGTTAATGTTGCTGCTGGTGCCGGTGTTACTGGTGTTAGTGGTGTTATTGGTGATAATAATGTTGGTAATATTTTTGGTAGTGGTGCTGTTGGAGTTGGCATTGTTGGTATTAGTGGTGCTCGAGCTGGTGTTAGTGGTGGTAGCCTATTGGTGCTGTTGGCGTGATTGGTGTTGGTGTGAGTGGCGCGCGCGCAGCCGAGTCGATCTCGAGCCCTACCTTCATCTCGGCGTTGATCTCCCTCTTGACGGGGTGAGCCGGTTTCCTGCTCCGTTTGCTTTCTGGAGGTCTTCCCTCTTTCTCCATCTCGGCCATGGCGCGCGGGGCGTCTGTTGTGTCTTAATTCCTTCCTTTATTTCCCGGGTAGCAAAATAAAAAGCCCCCCCTTCCCTCCCTTGCCCTCCCCTGCCCTCCGAAAGCGGGCGCGAGACGCGTTTCAGAGTTGCGCGAGGGCGAACGGCGCACGTGCGCGGAGCCGCGGAGATGCTGCTGCTGCTGCTGCCGCGAGCGCGCGATGCCCGGTACGGTCAGCCATCTTCTGCTTTTCCTCTCGATTCTGAGCGTGTGTGAGAGAGTGTGTGTAAGCGAGAGCGCGCGCGCGTGCGCGCGTGCGTGCGTGGAGCCGAGCCTCCCTCCTGCTCCGCGAGCCAGCCAGACAGGGGGCGTGGCCAGACGCGCAGGGGAAAAGGGGGCGGGGCCTACTCGGTAACTCTATACGGTGCGCGGATCCCGGGAAGGCGATTGGGCCTCCCGGTTTTTTTCCACGGCTCAGTTTACACACACACACACACACACACACACACACACCACACACCGGACTCCACGCATTAGTAGCGCATGAGTGGAGCGCAGTGGTTGACGGTGGCACGAGACAGTCATTACAGGATCCTGATTTGATGTTAATTAAAGAGAAAGGAAGATGTGTGTGTGTGTGTGTGTGTGTGTGTTTGTGTGTATGTGTTTGTGTGTTTGTGTGTGTGCGCGCTCTAAGGATCATAACAATGTTATATATTAAACAGTCGGGATGCACCAATACAGAAAAAGTGGGCTGATATTTTTATCTGCAGATGTTGCAACATCTAATCCTGTAAACTGCAGCTTTACAAACACTGCGAAATGAATAAAGTACAGATGTTTTAGTGCAGTAACCCAGCGTCACCTAAACTCCCTCAGCATCTTCAACATCCTCAACACCCTCAACATTCTCAACACCCTCAACTCCCTCAGCATCTTAAACATCCTCAACATCCTCATCCTCAACACCCTCAACTCCCTCAGCATCTTCAACTTCCTCAACACCCTCAACATCCTCAACACCCTCAATTCCCTCAGCATCTTCAACATCCTCAACACCCTCAACATCCTCAACACCCTCAATTCCCTCAGCATCTTCAACATCCTCAACACCCTCAACATTCTCAACACCCTCAACTCCCTCAGCATCTTCAACATCCTCAACACCCTCAACTCCCTCAACACCCTGAACTCCCTCAGCATCCTCAACATCTTCAACACCCTCAACTCCCTCAGCATCTTCAACATCCTCAACACCCTCAACACCCTCAACATCCTCAACACCCTCAACATCTCAACACCCTCAACTCCCTCAGCATCTTCAACATCCTCAGCATCTTCAACATCCTCAGCATCTTCAACATCCTCAGCATCCCCAACACCCTCAACATCCTCAACACCCTCAACACCCTCAACTCCCTCAGCATCTTCAACATCCTCAACACCCTCAACATCCTCAACATCTTCAACACCCTCATCTCCCTCAGCATCTTCAACATCCTCAACACCCTCAACATACTCAACACCCTCAATTCCCTCAGCATCTTCAACATCCTCAACACCCTCATCCTCAACACCCTCAACTCCTTCAGCATCTTCAACATCCTCAACACCCTCAACATCCTCAACACCCTCAACATCCTCAACTCCCTCAGCATCTTCAACATCCTCAACACCCTCAACATTCTCAACACCCTCAACTCCCTCAGCATCTTCAACATCCTCAACACCCTCATCCTCAACATGCTCAATTCCCTCAGCATCTTCAACTTCCTCAACACCCTCAACATCCTCAACATCCTCAACACACTCAACATCCTCAATTCCCTCAACATCCTCAACACCCTCAATTCCCTCAGCATCTTCAACACCCTCAACATCCTCAAAACCCTCACTTCCCTCAGCATCTTCAACATCCTCAACACCCTCAACACACTCAACATCCTCAACACCCTCAGCATCTTCAACACCCTCAACATCCTCAAAACCCTCAACTCCCTCAGCATCTTCAACATCCTCAACACCCTCAACTCCCTCAACATCCTCAACACCCTCAATTCCCTCAGCATCTTCAACATCCTCAACACCCTCAACATCCTCAACACCCTCAACTCCCTCAGCATCTTCAACATCCTCAACACCCTCAACATCTTCAACACCCTCAATTCCCTCAGCATCTTCAACACCCTCAAATCCCTCAACATCCTCAACACCCTCAACTCCCTCAGCATCTTCAACATCCTCAACACTCTCAACACCCTCATCCTCAACACCCTCAATTCCCTCAGCATCTTCAACATTCTCAACTCCCTCAACATCCTCAACACCCTCAACTCCCTCAGCATCTTCAACATCCTCAACACCCTCAACACCCTCATCCTCAACACCCTCAATTCCCTCAGCATCTTCAACATTCTCAACTCCCTCAACTCCTCAACATCCTCAACTCCCTCAGCATCTTCAACACCCTCAACACCCTCAACATCCTCAACACCCTCAAATCCCTCAGCATCTTCAACATCCTCAACTCCTCCTCAACTCCTCCAAATACAGGAACAGTATGCTGATACCATCAACACCTTCAACATCCTCAAAACCCTCAACACTCTCAACTCCCTCAACACCTTCAACACCCTCAGCACCCTCAACATCCTCAACACTCTGAACTCCCTCGACACCTTCAACACCCTCAACATTCTCAACACCTTCAGCACCCTCAACACTCTCAACTCCCTCGACACCTTCAACACCCTCAACATTTTCAACACCTTCAACATTTGCAACACCCTCAACACCTCTGCTCTACTGGAGTTCAATAAATGCATAAAAAAAGTGAGAGAAAAAGAGAGTGGAGGGAAAGAGAGGATGAGGAGGGAAAGAGGAGAGAGGGAAAGAGATCACTGACTGTTCTTGCCTCAAATGTTTGCATAATTTCCAGATGATTAAAAAATATTACAGGAACATAATTATTGTCAAAAGTAAGCAAACTGAAATACAACAACTGATGTAAAATAATTTATTTCTGAGTAAACGGTGCATCATTTTACTCAAATACAGTCAGTGAAGCACTTTCTCGAATGGCATGAACTTTCTTTCTCTCCTTCTCTCTCTTTCTCTCTCTTTCTTTCTCTCCTTCTCTATCTCTTTTACTCTCTCTCTCTCTCTCTCCTCTCTCTCTCTCTCTCTTTCTCTCTCTCTCCTTCTCTATCTCTTTTACTCTCTCTCTCTCTCTCTCTCTCTCTCTCTCTCTCTATGTATTTATTTAATACTTTTAATGATGCTTTGTTTCATGGTATCACCAGATTGTGACAAGGTTCCAAACTCTCTCTCTCTCTCTCTCTCTCTCTCTCTCTCTCTCTCTCTCTCTCTCTCTTTCCCTCTCCTCTCTCTCTTTCTCTTTCCTTCCTCTCTCTTTCTTTCTCTTTTCCTCTCTCCTACTCTTTTTCTTTTCCTCTTTCTCTCTCAACTTCTCCTGCCTCTCCCTCTCTTTCTTTTTCTCCTCTCTCTCTCTTTTTCTCTGTTTCTCTATCTCTCCCTCTGTTTTCTCTTCCTCTCTCCTGCTCTTTTCTCTCTCTTTTCCCTCTCTCCCTCTCTCTTCTCTCTCTCTCATTTTGAGCAGAAGTCTCTTGCCCGTCCTTGAGCGGATCTCGGCGTCCCATCCCAGATCACTAGCAGATGCGGCCGAGCCCTGAATGAGCGCATTGTTTAACCCGGCTGAACATTATCCCGCGGTAAACAGTTACATTCTAGCTGAGGATACAGTTACTGCACTTTGATAGCGGAGGCGTATATAACAGGCCAGGCTGTGTTTTTCTCCCGCTCAGATTGCCTTTCACTTCCATTCGATTCCGCAAGCTCTTAGCACAATGTGGATCAAGTGCAAAGGAATATGGTTTGTAAACACGAGCGAGAGCTCTAATATGCAGTGACAAATAAGATTACAGGATGGAATTTTTGTCTCTCGGGATGGGGGGAAGTATGGTTATGAAACAAAACGACTTTTTGATCCCTGCGTATGTGTGTGTGTGTGTGTGAGGGTGTTTTTGTACATTTTCAGGACAAAAATGTTCTGACTTGTAGGCACTTACATATGTGTTAAACATAATATATATATATATACATATAGGACATTCGGTTTTGTAACTACTAACTCAAAATAATATAACATGAAACAATAACAATAAACAACAACAACAATAATAATAATAATAATAACTAGAAAAAAACTTTAAGTTTACTTAAAAAAGCCAGCTAATTGCAATAAAATGTGAAATTATGTGTCAGTGTGTGTGGTACATGTATACATTTATTTACTTTTATATACACACACACACACATATATATATATATATATATGTGTGTGTGTGTGTGTGTGTGTGTGTAAGCATCTTAATATATATGGGATTATTATTACATAGATACTTAAACATATATAATACTTTTGGAACATATTATTACTGTATATAGATACTTACATATCTATATTACATACGGAATGAATTATTACATACACATACTTACAACATCCTATACAACATGTTATTACACATAGGTGATAGGTGCTTTTTATATATAATACTTAAGGGACAAACCATTACAGTAGTTACTTCCACAAATATAATACATATGGGACGTACGTGTCACCCCACATCCAAACACTAAATAAAAACAAACCTGCGTGTGCGTGAGAGAGTGTGTGTTTGTGGCGGGGTGGGTGGATGTGTGAGAGAGAGAGACAGAGAGTGAGAGAGGAGAGAGAGAGAGTCTCCATTTCAAAAAGATACTTACGGGATTTCTACAAGAGGGGCAGTATTACAGAGGGAATTAGGAGCAGATATGAAACAGCTGGGCCGAGATCGTTCCCATTACACTCCTTTAGCAAAGATTACTCAAAAATAAACATTCGCTTCTCAATCACAGGCCCAAATGAAGCTTTGTGAAACCAAACGTACACTTGCAGAAGTCGCTGAAAGTGGAGCAAAGGCCGTATACGAGATATTGATCCGCTGCAGTCAGAACTCTCTTTAAACCGAACTGGATTGGTTCTGTTTACACTCTAAAACTGAGGTC